GTGGAGGGGGCGGAGGGAAGGGGTGGGAGGTGGATGGGAGGGGGTGGAGGGGGCGGAGGGAAGGGGGAGGGGAGTGGATGGGAGGGGGTGGAGGGAAGGGAGGGGATGAGGGGTAACAATAACAACAATAATACTATTCTACTGATAACAACAATAAAAATCAACAACAACAACAACAATAATAATAATTATTATGATAAAATCAATAATAAAAAATAATATCAAACAGTCATTGTACTTCGCAAATTATATTCTCAGAAACACTATAACCAGCGTCAGTCAAAAGCCGGCAAAATATATATGCAATTTAGAAAGAAAAATATGTATATGTAATAACGACAACAGGAAATGGTATCAACATGAATAACTGAAAATGAATAATGAATGTAATAAACGTAATGCAATATTACTCCGTCCCATTTGCTATCAAAATCTGAATAATAAATGGAGAAATTCTCTCATGAAACCAATGAATAATTCATAATGTAAAAAGAAATTATAAAATGTAAATGATGATGCTGTTAATGGCCCTAATAGCATGTCATACACAAAAGATGAGAAATAAAATCTTAAATAAAAATAAAATCCGACGCGGAGGGACATACTTGTACTTGTACAAACATACACAGACACACACAGACAAAGATAGATACAGATGCACACACACAAACAAACGAACAAACAAACACACACACACACACACAGACACACAGACACACACACACGCACACACACACACACAAACACACACACACACACACACAAACACACACACACACACACGATGGGAAAAAAAGAGAAGATAAAAAAGAAAGAAAAGAAAACACGCTCATGAAGAATTGGCACTCCGTATTGACAATATGAATGTCACACGCACACACACACAATCAAAAACAAACAGAAAATCCGATCAAGACCGCCATCCACTGATATCCAACTCAGGCATACTCTCTCTCCCCCACAAAAAAAAAATGAAAACAAGAAATGACAAATAATAATGAATTTAAAAAAATGAAACCTCGATCGAAAACGGAAAAAAATAATCCCGCCCAAAAAATCCCAGAAACCATGATCAAGACCGCCAGCCACGAAAAAACACATCTATCACTCGTAGAGAAAAATCGCGCAGGCCAACTCCTCTCTACTAAAATAAGCAAATAAATAAATAAATAAACCTAAACCTATAAAAACTATACCGTAAACATAGAAAACCAATCCTTCCCAAAACCAAAACCCCGGATCGAGACCGTCTCCACGACCCAGCCCCGGAGAGAGAACGCCACGCGCAGGCCAACTCAACCAAAACAGAAGAAAATGAAAAATGAGAAAAAACAACAACAACGAAACATACACCGAAGACAAAAAAACAAACAATCTTCCCCAAAACAGAAACTTAAGTAAGTAAATAAATAAATAAATAAATAAACCTAAACCAATAAAAAAAACTATACCGTAAACACAGAAAACCAATTCTTCCCAAAACAGAAACCCGGACCGAGACCGTCTCAATGACCCAGCCTCGGAGAGAGAACGCCACGCGCAGGCCAACTCAACCAAAACAGAAGAAAATGAAAAATGAGAAAAAAAACAACAACGAAACATACACCGAAGAAAAAAACAAAACAATCCTTCGCAAAACAGAAACTTAAGTAAGTAAGTAAATAAATAAATAAATAAATAAACCTAAACCAATAAAAAACTATACCGTAAACACAGAAAACCAATCCTTCCCAAAACAGAAACCCAGATCGAGACGACCCAGCCCCGGAGAGAGAACGCCACGCGCACGCCACCTCTACCCCGCCCGAGCCTCGTCCTTACAAAGAGGCAAATGGCGCCCACTCCCCTGCATTGTGTGGCTCTGAGACGGTCGCGCCGTGCTATGACGTAAGCTCGTTATTCCCGAAAGGTTGTTCTATAATGGGGCATATAAATGCTTGATTGGGGGGAGGGGGGGAGAAGGGGGAGGGAGGAGGAAGAGGAGAGATGGGGGGAGGGGAGGAGGAGGAGAGAAGGGGGGAGGGGGGGAGGAGGAGAGAAGGGAGGAGGGGGGAGGAGGAGAGAAGGGGGACGGGGGGAGGAGGAGAGAAGGGAGGAGGGGGGAGGAGGAGAGAAGGGGGGAGGGGAGGAGGAGGAGGAGGATAGAAGGGAGGGAGGGGAGGAGGAGAGAAGGGTAGAGGGGGGAAGAGGAGGAGAGGAGAGGGGAGAGGGAGGCGTTGAGATTAGGGGGAAGGGGAGGAAGAGGGAATAATTGGAGAGAAGAAATGAGGGAAGAAAACGAGAGATAGAGTGAGAAAAGAGAGAAGGAGGAGGGGAGAGGGAAAGTCTGGGGATAGGGGAGGATGAAGGAATGGAAAAGAGAGAGGGAGATGTAGGAGGAAGAGGAGAGGAAGGGGGGAGGGAGAGAAGGTTGAATGAGTGGGAGGAGATGAGGAGGAGGAAATAATGATGGTATTATAAAGTTAAGAAGAAAAGAATATAAAAAAAGGTAGTTTTAGAGTCTTTTGTGCAAAGAATCATTATTGCAAAATGTCGAAAATAATCCATCACAACGAGAGATTATTGAGTGAAAAATCATTATTGTAAATGTCGAAGAAAAAGAAGAAACGCGAAACGAAGAAGACACAGATATGAAAAAAGAGAAAGATGAAGAAGATCAAGAAAAAGATGATGATGGAGAAGAAGAAAAAAGAAGAACAACAACAACAACAAGAAAACAGAAAAAAATGAAAACGAATAAGAATAAGAATAAGAAAAAGAAGAACAAGAACTAGAAAAAGAAAACAGAAAAAAATAAGAAAAGAACAAATAAGAATATAAAAGAACAAGAAACAGAAGAACAGTAAAATAAAAAAAAGAACAGAGGAAGGCAAAAACAGAAAGACAGAAAGCCAAAAAACCAGAACACAAACGCAAGACAAAGGAGCCCCCAACAAGCACAATCGAGACTCCCGTGTTAACAGCGAGGCACTGCCATCCCCCCCCCCCACCCCCGGCCCCGCCCCCACGAGCCAGGGTCACGCCTCCGTCAGAAGTGGCAATATCGTCTTGGCCTCCCGTGTCGGCCCGGCTAAGAGGTCCCCGAAAACCCGGCGAAACAAGTCGAGCGGAAAGTATGAGGAGCATCGGCCGGGAGGAGGCGGGCGCTTCGAGATCGCCCTCGTCGCTTCACTCGATGCACAGGTCGACCGAGGCTCTCAAGGGGCTCTCCTTGCCTTTGCTTCCCTTCCTTCCTTTCTTTCCTTCTTTCGCTTCCTTTCTTCCTTTCTCTCCTTCTTTCGCTTCCTTTCTCCCTCTCTTCCTTTTTCTTTCTTTCTTTTCTTCTTTCTCACTTTCTTTCTTCCTTCCTTCCTTCTTTCCTTTATCATTCCATCTATCCTGTAACCCTTCCTCCCTCTCTTATTTCCTTCCTTCTCCTTCCCTCCCTTTCTCCCTCCCTCCCTCCGCCCCCCCCCTTTTTACTCTTCTCCAGCTGCATACATAGACCCTCGTGCTTTTTTAGGGGGGGAGGTCAAAGAGAAAGGAAAATCAGAAGAAAGAGTTAGGGGAGGAGGAGGAAGAGGAGGAGGAAGAAGAAAAAGAGGAGGAGCAGGAGGAGTAGGTGGATGGGGAGGAGAGAGAGAGAGAGAGAGAGAGAGAGAGAGAGAGAGAGAGAGAGAGAGAGAGAGAGAGAGAGAGAGAGAGAGAGAGAGAGAGAGAGAGAGAGAGGAGAAAGACATTTCCTTCATCTGCCTAATAAAAGCATACCCACAGCATCAGCGAAACACGAGCGCAAGAACAGAGAGAAACACACACACACACACACACACACACACACACACATACACACACACGCACACACACGCACACACACGCACACACGCACGCACACACACACACACACACACACACACACACACACACACACACACACACACACACACACACACACACGATGGGGAAAAAAAGAAATGATAAAAAAGAAAGAAAAGAAAACACGCTCATGAAGAATTGGCACTCCGTATTGACAATATGAATGTCGTTTTCATGGCGGCGCAGCAGGAAGCGTCATGGAACGTCATGCAATAAATACTAAACCTTCTGCCGTTGCCGGATGCACTTATACCGACAATAAGGTTGCTCAATACGCGCGCGGGGGGGCTAGGATATTCGACCTTATTGCGGGTGGACGGAAGGGTGAGTGGAGTGGACAACACGGGATAATCGTGTTGGCGAGACGCTGTGAACACGCACGCTACACACGGAGCGATGTTCACAAGGTGTATCGGTTCATCGGGACACGGGCGCGGGGGTCGGGTTCGTGGGCGAAGGGGAGAGGGACAGCTTGATGAAACGGGAATAGAGGGACGTATGAATAAAAGCAGGCGAACAGGCAGGTATGCAAACAGACACAAACACAAATACACACTAATACAATACAACATAATTTACATGTACGCACACACGCACAAACACACATGCACACGCACACACGCAAACACATACACACACAAACATACACATACAGAAAAAAAACAGACAGACAAACATAAAAATTAGCATACAAAAATCAGACAGACAGACAGACAGACTTTACGTCAGGCACACACTTCCTCTACAGATAAAACTTTGTACCTAACCAGATGAAATTCTTAATCACCCATCTCTTCGGAATTAGTGCGTTTAAGGGGGGGGACGATGATTTTAGAAGGATATTGAATAACGTAAAAGTACGATCCATCCCTGATTTCACTCTATTTATTTTTTGTTTCATTTCTCATTCTCTCTTTCTTTTTTCCCCTTCTTTCTCCCCCTTTCTCTTTTACTCCCTCTTTTTTCTTCCCTCTATTCTTTCTCTCTTTTTCTCTCCCTCCCATCTCTTACTAGAGAGAGAGAGAGAGAGAGAGAGAGAGAGAGAGAGAGAGA